CAGACTGACCTGACCCATGGGTGAACTGTAGAAACTGGTTAGGAAGATATGTAAATGAATAGAGCTTTGAAATGCAAGTCTGCATTGTTAGAGGTAAAAGGGTAGATGTTTGCTCCGGGCTTGTGATGTAAGCAAACAAGTCTTGTCTATTGCTATAGTTTTAAATTCAAAGATCAAAAAAGGAATATTAACATTTATGATGATACTTGAGTGAAATAGTATTATTGGCTATATGTCTCTTTGAAGGTTGTGGTAACGTGTATCTGAACTGTTTAATGGATAAATTACCCTGTGCTAATTGCCAGGATGTTTGGAAGGAGAATTAAGCCTATTGTTTTCTCAGGCTGAAAGGCTACTGGAAATGTATAAGAACCAATGGGACATAATCCTTCTTCATCTCAGATCTGCTTTGGGTTTCAAGAAGGGGAAACCTTAAGCCACAAGGATTGAGATCCTCAGTCATTGACTGGAGCCACCCTGAATATGGACATTGGACTATAACCTATGGACTATATCTAAAAGGACTTTTGGCATCTACAAGCTCACCTCTGCTATGTATCTGAACCTCAAGAATTGAATTCAAGTCTGTATGTATATTGATCTTTTAACCAACACTCTCTCTCTTTTCTTTTTTAATAAATTTTAGCTTAGTTAATAAGAATTGGCTATAAGCGTGTATTTTGAGTAAGATCTAAGTTGTAATTGAACCTGGGTATGTGGCTGATCCTTTGGGATTGGAAGAACCTTTTCTTTTATATGATGAGATAAGATTTTCAGTAATCATCATCATATGTTTGACAGGTGTGTCTGGACGGAGGCCTGAGGCTGGGCACTTTAAGGGAACTGCGTGGTTTGGACTTCTAAGTAACCAGTGAGGTACTATAGAAGCTGTTTTGTGCTGGCTTGGTAAATCTAAGTATTGGAATATCCACCAGCGTTTGGGATTTGTCTGCCCCGTTTTGTTTGCAGTTCACCCTGATTGAGTGACCTCAGCTGGCTCCTACTGGCAGCACCGTCACAGCTGCCAATGACCCCTAGAGACCATTCCAGAAGCCATGGATCATTGCAGCAGCAACTGCAATTGCACCAACTGCACCATCTTTGCCAGGTGGAGAGATGACAGTTCAGGGCATCTACCCCACCTGAGGATTCCCATAAGCCTGACGGTCCTTCTGGAGCCAGCTAAACTATCTGAAAAGGAAAGGATTAGATGCTAAATATTTTTAAAGATTTGCAATAAAGCACACAAATATTACTTTTCACAGATGATCAAGTTATTTGATTGCAATCGTCAGGCCCTGTCACTCCTGCTGAGGAGTTTTGCACTGGAAAAGACTGCAGCTAAGGGTCTCTGTTAGTACCCTCTTGGAAATTCAGAGCTTTGAACATTCGACCACCCTGGAGCTGGCCCTGGAGCAACAAAGAACTAAACATATGGAACATGACTGTTCAATCATCTGTTGCCAGAATTACACGTTAAACATAGGCAGGGGTGAAAGTGGACCAGTACAGGCTGGTACGCCATACTGGTAAGAAGCTGGTACCAGTCCGTACACAGCCCATGTTAATCATGTCATTGCTCCTTTTGCCCCCACACCACCCCCCAGCCCACTCTCCTGGGCCCTTTTAAATCACCACCGGAGCCCCGGACGGTGGGGGCCAGGCAGCACGAATGGGCTGACGGGAGAAGGCTGAACCCCCCCCAGCCCCGCCCCTTCCACCCAAGGCCTCGCCCCTTCCAAGGGCTGGAGCTGGCCCCCGTACCAGTAAGAATTTAATATTACTTTCACCCCTGAACATAGGGCCAAAAGCTCCCTTTCATTTTAGAAAAGGGAGCACAAAGAGCATTACTGCAGAGTTGCGCTGCCATTGGCACCAGCGCAGGAGGGCCAAGCCTCTGTGCATGGCACTGGTCTTCAGAGATTTCTCAAGATCCACACTGATTTGTGAGAGCCACAGGTTTAGAGGCAATCACTGGTTGTTCTAAAGAGGAACAAACCCATCACCTCATCCCCCAACAGAATGATAAAAGATATTACACAAGCTAAGACTCAAAAAGTTTTGAGTTGTCTATGCAGGAATAATCTAAACAGAATTTGGCCTATTGCTTTTTAGAATCCAGAAGACTGCAGTTATTGCTGTGTTACTATGACATTCAAGATTGTGTCATGTTCACCAGATTATAACAGTTCTAAGACAGATCACATTTTGGACTTCAACAAGTTATGTCAGGGGTCGGCAACGTTTGGCACGCGGCTCGCCAGGGTAAGCACCCTGGCGGGCCGGGCCAGTTTATTTACCTGCCGTCCCGGGCCAATGTGGGCGGCGGAAAGCTGTGGCCAGCACATCCCTTGCCCGCGCCGCTTCCCGCAGCCCCCATTGGCCCGGGATGGTGAACCGTGGCCAGTGGGGGCCGCGATTAGCCGAACCTGCCGCGTCAGCAGCTAAATAAACTGGCCCGGCCCGCCAGGGTGCTTACCCTGGCGAGCCGCGTGCCAAATGTTGCCGACCCCTGAGTTATGTCCTTTTAAGCATCTCGCTTTTCACAGATTTGTGAACATTAGTATCCATAACATACATAAATCAATGTTTCCCTCTTCCATTGTATCACCAAACTATAACAATCTAAAAGAGAAATGCAAAATATTTGTCTGGTTAGATAATCAATATCAGCTTTCAGCACAAGTTGTAGCATAAATCTAATGTCTTTCAGGGAGAATTTTTAGAATCAACTCTGATGAGGAAGTTTTTTTTTTCTTTCCTAGTCAGAATGACACTCCTGTACTTTCTCTCTTTTTATTCTTTTATGTTTATCCTATTGGATTTTAGGCTTTCTTCTTTAGCTTGCGAAGCAAAAATTATTCATAATTGTTAAAGCTATACAGTCCTTATACAAGTTTTCATTGGCTTTACTTTGCAGCTAGTGTTTTGTGGACTTTTATTTATATAAAGACTTTTCAATTATGCTTAGAAGATAGTACCCTTCTCCTTTTACATCAGTTCCTTGCAGCATGGCTGATTATACTGGGACAAAACTGTATAAGCATCTAGCATGCTGGGCTTAGCCCATAGAACCAGGACTTTCGTGTTGAATTTAGTCACCCTGATTGTGAAGGAAGAAGTCCTACAGTGAAGTACCTTACTTAGCCTCCATTTGTACATGCTCAAATGTGCCAATGCAAATCGATTGCATACATGCTTTCTACACAAAGTCACTTATGCATACTGTGACACCTCACCCAATATTCTTCACAGTGATATTATGGTGATATGATTATGGCATAATTCTGATGTATTTTATGCAAGATAGGTCTTGTGACATATTGGAAAGGTTATGATTTTCTGAATATGATTATCCTATTTGTATGCATGTATATTTTTTGTATCTGAAGTTAGGAATATTGACTATATATCTGTATTACAAATGTGTTTACACTTGGGAAACACCCACTAGGCAAAAGACCATCAGTCTAGATGGCTGGCTGGGAAGGGCCCATTCAGGTTAAAGGGCCATTAGGAGAAAATAATAGGCCTTAGAAGAAATTTATCTCCCAACCGGGGACGGGTGGGGTGTCTTCCTGAGGACACTACAAACAGCCTCCGAGCAATGGCTGCTGTGGCACTACAGGGGCATGTAACCAGATCACCTGGCACTGGACTCCATCCTGGAATACCGGTGTTTTTCCACTGACTGGCATGGAAACCAAGCTTTGAGACAAAGTGTTCCTGCCATATGCAAAAGCTATTTAAGGCAGGGGAGTGACATCATTGTGGTTCTTC